TAAAAGACATTTATATTATTGAAAAGAATGATTTAAAGACAAAAAGAATCAGTGAGTGATATTATCCATAAGATAAAAATAAAAGAAAACATTGAAGTTGTTCCAGAACCTTTTTTTACTACAAAAAATATTGTAATATGCTATTTCTTTTCAACCACAGAAGTAAAATTTTTCTTTCTTATTCATTTTTATTAATTTATTCATACAAGACATATGACATAACAAACATTAAGAGCAAAATGAATATATCAATAGTCTTAGTTATTGAAAAAAAAAGAATAAAACAAGTATTAAAAATAAAGAATAGTGTAAACAAATATAAACAAATTCAATGAGTAACAGTTTAAATTCATAAAGTTGAATCAAACCAGTCAATTTATATATTCATATTACTAAATAACATCTTAGTCATAAAGAAAAATTATAAAAACAAACACAAATAACAAGTGGCATTAAAAATCAAGTAAACAACAGATTAATATTAATGAAACAACAATAAATAAACTTACTAGAATATATTCAAGACATTCAAAAAAAATCAGACATATGACTTAAATGAATCAATTCTTGTTTCATATTAGTATTTAACTCTATATCATATTATAATGTTTAACTGAACCAATAAATAATGTCAAATATATATAATAATGAAATAATAGTTGTTTTTTTCCCATAATTAAGTAACTTTATATATGTTAGACTATATAAATTGAAAGAATAATCAGACACAACAAAGGAATGTAAAAAGAAAACACCTATGATATATTGTTTTTGTATTGAGTTTCAATGAGCAGATATGTTAAAACTAATTGAACTAGTCATTAGCTATTTTTTTTTAGGAATGAGAAATAATGAAGTATTTATATGAGAATATAAAATTCTAATTTATTGTGTTTTTATATATCAGTGTCTATCAAAAAATTATGGATTTGTGTGAGTTTGTTATGACTTATTGAAATTATATGTCTACTTTATACTTTAAATACTCTTTTTAGTATTACATCATTAGAATTATTGTTCATTAACTCATTTCAACTTTAATTAAATAAGTATATGTATTAACAGAAACCATAATTTATATAAACTAAATCAATTTAAATACCTAGAGAATATTACACTCGATTTTCACAATTAAATAAAGTAAAAGATTTTTAGACAAAAGAACTTCTTGAAAGAAAAATTAAAATTCTTTTCCTCTATTTCCATTGCAACACAAAAAGATATTTTACTCTAAAGGTTGAAGGATAATGATTACCTGTGAATGTATCAATGTCTAAGGATTTAATAGTATAAAACTCATCAATATTTTGATATACAAAAGATTTTCCATAATGTTTAATATAAAAAGCAGCGTCTATATCAACAAATTTTTCAGTCTCAAGGTTAGACATCAACCATAATGCACTTGTATTAGTGGTTCTTTGAAATCTTCTTGGTTTTATTCCACGACATCCACCAAGAGTACAAATGAAATGATTTGGATCATTTTTAGCATGGACAAGATGTTGACCTGTTTTTGGAATTTGACCAAAGTGACATCCAAAAACAAACCCATTTGAAACACTAAAAAGAAATGTAATATTTTGTTTTCCACTGATTTTGTCATTGAAATTTGCAGTAGTACCTAATTGATGAACCGAATAAATTAACTCACACTCACTTTTACCAACCCATTTTTGAAGGTTTTCAATGTCTAATACTGAAATGACTGTTGCTAAATGATTGAACTTACTTAGTTGTATTGGATTAAGAGGTTTTTGTGTTACTTCATTTCTCCAATCATGTTGGATTTCTTTGACTTGTTGAGCAAGATAATCAAATTTATATCTTTCTTGAATCTTTTTAGTTTTTATTGACGGTAACAACGAAGTTGAAGAAAATTGAAGTAATCTATGTTTCATGTTATGAGGAAGAAATTTGATAAAACTGTCGAAGAATGTTTCTGGACAATGGCATAATAATGAAAAATCTTTCTTGGTTGACTCAATGAATGTGGATATTTCTTGAAGGTTATCTTCTGTTATTGAATAACGTCTATGAATCAAACTTGCTAAAGAAAGAGATGGGTTAGTAAGTAATGCAAACAAACCATCTTGTTTTGTCTTAACTTCAAGAACTTCATTTAAGATAACATCAATAATATCATCCTTTAATAGAATTAATTATTTATTCATACATTAAAAAAAAAAATAACAAACAATGATTGAATTAATGTCATTCATTTCAATAAATAACTGGTTAATAGAGTCATCAATTGTCATAAAATTTAATAATTTTCCTGTTGATTTGTATTTCTTCAAGTAATGACTTTTTGTTTTAGAATAATTAACATATCATTCAAAGAAAGAAAAAAGGAAATCAGTTTTAGAAGAACAAATTTTCTCTACAGTTAATTCAGAGACTCTAATTTAAGACATCACCTTTCCATTATTTAAGAAATAGACTTAATTCAAGATTTTTAATTGTTTTGTTGAAGAAATTATGGGTTTATTAACAATAAAATATGAATAACAAAATTTTAGTATTAAAGTTATTAAAAATCAAATCAATTGAAAACGATTCAATTCATGATTAAACTTTAATGAGATATCTTCCTCCATAAGTAGTAAATTTAACTCCCTTTCTTACTTGATATGGTTGATTACAATCAAGATGTTTAAATCTTAATCCAGAAGCAGCATAATTAATAATTTGGAAATTCATTGAAACTTTAGTAAATGTATCAGTGTCTTCGTACATTGAACGGTTAACAGTACCACTAATAGTTGGGATGATTTTTGGATCATGTTTTCCAATAGTCCATATTAAAACCTATTTTATTATTTAATGTTTCATTATTATCATTTAGATGTATGAACAAAGAATTAATGAAAAGAATTAAAAATAAAACAAACATGTTTTATTCCATCAAAAATATATTTTCCGGTATTAACAACTAATTGACATGATGTAACAGAAACTGGGAATTCTATGACAACTTGTTGATTAATTAATTCACTTTTTAATGGTCCACTTCCAAATCCAGCAATATTATTTGAATAAACACTTAATTCAACTAATCCTTGTGAAGAAGTATATTTAACAGAACCACCTAATTTAATTGGAGCTTGAAGAGTACCTCTTACACGATAATTAAATAAAGTAAATTTTCCATCAGGTGGAATAAAGGAAAGAACTTTTTGTTGTTCCCATTTTCCAATTCTAATACATGGATGGAATGAAACATCATCCATAATTTGTGGGTTGTCAAATCTTAATGTAACATCTGGAATTCCACTCAATGAAGAAATACAAACTACTTCTCCTAATACTTCTGTTCTTGATGCTTTTCCTGTTACAAGATTAAAAACTGTAGAAATACGTTCATTAACATCAAATAAAATTTCATTTGTTTTATGAATAACTCCATCTTTTCTCCATGGAAGAGTTCTTGAACCTAATGCATCTTTATCATAATTTACTGATAACTCTCCTAAAACTGCTTTTTCTATTTTTTGAGATGTTGTATTTTCATTAAGAAGAGCATCAATAGTATTTGGTTCTGTAATAAATGGAAATCCTCCATCAGCAAGTTGGTCCATAATTTGTATGAGACGGATATAATCTTGTTTTAATGTATTATCATTAAATGATCCATCTGGATAACAATATTTTAATATAATACGAATTCGTTGAAGGAAAGATGAAATAAATAATGGTGGAACATCTATATCAGTGACAGCAATAAAATAGACTGAATTAGATGGTAACTAATAATAAGACTTCTTATTATTTAATTTAAGAATAATAAGAAAAAAAAAACAAACTTCACGACAAAAATGGAATAAACAATAAGTGTTACAATTGATTACTGGTGGTATATTATTATAAATTGGAATAGTAGTTACTACAAAATGTGAATATTTAATATTAACATTAAATCTTTTTTTTTTATTTTATATAGATATAGATATATATTTATTACATATACTTATAAATGTAACGTATTTTTTTATTTTATGTTATATCAAATTAATGATAGTAATTTTCACCTGAATTTGATTAAATAAAAAATAATTAAATATTAAAACAAACATTTATCATAAAATGGAACAAGAACACCTTTATCAATTGTTTTTCCATAATTTTTTTGGTAGATAATATCATTTGAACAATTTACAATAAACAATGCTTTGATCATTAGTTTGATTATGCAGTTCCTTTCTTCTTAGAACTTTTCTTCTTCAGAATTTTCTTTCTTTTCTTTTTGTTTTTTAACCTTTAGTATTTAGTTCTTTTATTGTTTCTTTTCTTATTGTTCTTTTGGTTTTGTCATTCTTGCAAAAATGCTATGGTTTATAATTTTTTTATTATAAAATACCATTCAATAAGATGGTTGCTTCAAAAATATGATTGTTTATCTTAGAACAAAACATTATATAGAACAACTGTTGACTCTAGATAATTGAGAAGATTATTTCTTATCATTAATGATTTGTTCTTCTTATTTCTCTACAAAATAAATCTAATCTTATCTTAATTACCTTTTGTAAGATTTCTTTTTAGTTGTTATCTGTTCTTTCATTGGTGTGATAGATAATGAAAATGAAGTAATTTGAAGAAAAGTGAACAACCAATAAAATAAAAAACAAAAATTAAGGATAAATAATGTTATTTCTATTCTAATATTACTTTCTTTTCATAAATCAAAATACTTAACAGAAATTTCAAGTCTTTCTTCCTTTTCCTATTTTCATTCAACTTTACTTTTCATTACTTTTATTCCTATAATATTCATAATTAAAGTTTAAGATATTTTAAAAAAATAAGACACACAACTCAATAACAAAAATTATTAACAAGAAAAGTACATATTATGAACTTTAAACAACCAAAAGAAGAATAAACAATGAGTTGATAAAAATATATTATATATATTTATCTCAATAAGAAACTTCCAAGTATTTCACTTTTTCCAAATTGTTTTTTTTAACTGTTAATATCATTTTTGAAATAAGAAGATGCAATCATTTCAATTAACTCATCAAAGAAGAAGAAAAGCTGTTTCATTAAATATTCCATCACATCCATTTTCATTACTTAGTCGTGAAGGGGCAATTATTCCTTCATTAACAGAAATTATTTTAGATGCATTTAGTCGTTTTGATGAAAACTTTTCATCATTATCACAGTCACAAGAACCATTACCTTTACCACCATTACTTGCTACAAAATTACTTCAAGTAGTTTCAAATAATCCAAATGCAACAGATATAGATTTAAATATTATTATGTATAGATTACTTGCATCAGGTGTAAATACAATAACATTAGATATTCATAACACACATTTATTAACACGAAGTACTTGTCTTAATGTATTTCAATTATCATTATCATTACATATTACTACATTAGATATTTCCTTTGCCAGAGGTTGTTCATCAGATGAATTAGGAATTATGTGTAAAAATTTTCCATATTTAAAACATTTAAATGCATCAGGATGTCTTCCATTTGATGATTTTTGTTTATTAGCAATATTACAATCAACACCACCATTAGAAACACTTAATGTTTCTAATTGTCCAAGAATTACAGATTATGGAATACAAAATATTTCAAATGTAAATACATTACGTATTTTTAAAGCAAATAATACACTCTTAACAAGTAAAGGATTACAATATCTTCATGACTTAATTGAATTAGAATTATTAAATTGTAAAAATCTGACTGATGATTGTCTCTCTATTCTTTCAAAAAGAAATTCACATTTATCTTCTGTATCTATATCTTCACAAAGATTAACTGATAAATCAATTCAATCATTCTTACAAAAAATTCCTGAATTAAATTATTTAAATTTAACAAATTGTGTTAATGCTGGAATACTTACTTTATCTCAATTATTTCATTCTAAATTCAAATTAACTAATTTGAATTTATCTAATTGTTTTGGTGTTTCTGGTGAACATCTTATGAGGTCTTATAATCAATTATATGCCTCTTCTTTATTTTCTTGGTTAGCTGATCTTATTTATTTAAACATTTCTGGTTGTACTCGTATTTCTACTTATTTCTTAACAAACATTTTACAAAACACTCCAAATTTAAGAACATTAATATTAGATGGATTAACTGTTGATGAACCTTCTATTCAGTCTTTCCTTCAATCAAGTTGTGTTGCAGCAAATGTTACTAGAAGGTCTGTTGTTAGAAAAGGTGGAAAATTTTCACCTCTTACTTTATCTTTTAAACAATGTAAAATGAATGAACAAACATTAATTAATTTCTTTAGTGTTAGAGGATGTGATTTAATTAGCATAAATCTTAATTCATGTTTTGCTTTAACTGCTATTGCTTTAACTGTATTAGGTGATACTGCACATTCTTTAACTCATTTTTATTGTACAAATAATACTACTCTAACTGAAACTGCTTTAATTCAATTTATTTATCGATCCCCTCGTCTTAGAGTATTATTTTTAAGTGGTACAACAGCAGTAACTAATAGAGTAATATTAGCTGTAAGAGATTCATGTTTAAATTTATCTCATTTTGATATTAGTGGTTGTGAAAATATTACTCCTGAATCTGGTGTTATTCTCTCTGGAATCCGTTCATTACAATATCTTGATATCTCTTTTACTCCTTTTACTCCAAATCAAATTCAATTCATTATTAATGCTTTACCTAGAATTACTAGTTTTTCTATGCAAGGCATTACTTATAGTGCTCCTCAATTATTTTCTCAAGAAGCCCAATGGATGAATGTAATGAGACTTAATTTCTCTCAATGTAGTGATGCTTTATTATCAAATATTTCTGATTTTTGTCCTTTATTAACTACTGTAGAATTACGTATGTGTGTTAATGTGACTGATTCTGGTATTCAAATGTTACTTAATAAATGTACAAAATTATTAAATATTGTTCTTACTGGTACTTCAGTCTCTCAACAAGTTATTCGTTTTCTTTCTTCTAAAGGTGTTTCTATTTTATAATTAAAACTATGTCTTTATTATTCTTTGTAAATATAATTTTGGTTTATTTTTTATCTTAAATTTAGACATTCAATAAAACAATTCAATTTATGGAATTATTATTCTAAAATTATATCATTCAAAATAGTTAGTAATATAATTAAATACTACCTTCAAAGCATTTGTTAATATAAATGAAGAAGAAATAAACATAATATTTAACATAATAAAAAAAGAATTAATACATATTTTAAAAAGATTAAGTAAGATGAATAATTAAATAAAATATTTATTTCACCAATTCATTATTGAATTGTAATTTATAAAAAAATTAACAGTTATTTAATAATTCCATTATAAAAATAAATCATAAAAAATCATATTTATATTTTTAAAAAAGATTGATAAAATGATTATTATAATTGGAATTGAATATTAAAAATTTTTCAAAGACAAAATCAATAATGATTTTGTTGATATTTTAAAAAAAAATATAATAACAAATAATTTACATTTGAATGATTAAATTTATAGTTAAAAAGAATATTTTTATTAAATGAGTTAAAGTATTTTCAAATATAAATATTTCATTGAGAAATGAATGGAAATAATTAATTGATAAACAAATATCAATAGATAAAAGTGAAAGAAAAAAAAATAAAAAGAGAAATGAAATTGATTTAAATAAAAATAAAATGAATATAAAAGTTATAAATGAACGTTTGATCTGAGAGATGGAGTATTTGCAGAAACACTAACAGGATATACAGTTTCACTAGAATCTAATACACTACTATCACAACCACTTTCATCACCACTTTTCTTTTCTTTCTTTTTCTTATCGAAAAGTCCTAAAAATGATCTAGATAACCTGTTCTTTTTCTTTTCTTCATATTCACTACTAATACAAACAGATGCACAATTTTCTCTTTTATAATAAGAATTTTTACCACCATCTTTATCTTTACCTTCAAAAGAAGACAATGAACGAGCAACAGGAATTTCATCATCTTTAACAAACGACTTTCGTTTTTCTTTCTTTTTATCAGAATGTTTTTTATCTTTCTTTTCTTTTGTATGCATTTCAGCAAGACGTTGGTTTTCTTGTTTTTCTTTAGCCATCTCACGCAAGAAACTCATTACATCCATTTCATCATCTTGTTCGTTTTTACTTTTCAAGTCATCAAGTCTAATCTGAAGATTACAATTTTTTAATTTTTTAGATTTTAATTCTTTTTTAGCGTTTTCAATTTGTGATTTAATTTCTTCTAATTCTTTAGACTGAGCTTCTGCTTTATCTAAAGTTTCTCTAAAGCAATGATAATAATTCATAGTAAAATTTGCTATATTTTGAATTAATTTATTATAAACTAAAAAGTCATCATAACAACAAGCAGGTATTTCCAAAGCTTTTAATAATTTAGCAGATACTTCATGACTTAAATTTCTTTTAATTGGTAATATAGAAGAATGAAGTAATAAAATCAAATTATTTAATTGTTCAAAAGGTTTAGGATGTTGAATAATTTCAGCTTGATTAATAATTTTATTAAATAATTCAGAAAGTCCATTTTCATCAATACAATTTCTAAGTAATAAAACATAATTTTCATTAGATTTAAATTGGAATGTTTTAAATGTTTCAGCGATGAATTTAATTTTATTAATATTTTGATCAATTAATTCTTTTTTATACACTTTTCTAAGTAAAACTTCATTTTGAAGAAAAGGGACAATACTTTGTTGAATAAAAACAGCAAATAATTCTTCATATATTATTTGAATTTCTTGTTTATTTAAATTAATAGTTTCATGTTCAATAATATACTTTAATATTGAACAATATTCTTTTGGTAATTGTTCAATATTATTTTTCATTGACTCAATCATTATTAATATAATTTCTCTTAATGTCCCTAATGACTGGTTTGACATTTCTATCATTTCTTCTGTAAATTCTTCTTTTGGACTTTTTAATAATTCAATATTAAGTTGCTCAAAATATTCTGGGGTTTCAATTATTGGTTTACATATATTTCTTTGAAATTCATTGACTTCTTGTAATGAATACACTCGATTAAATATTGAATAAAACCTATTAAATTCTACTTCATTTTTTTCTTCTAAATATGCTGTTTTTAAATTGCAATTTTCTTCTTTAAATGCCCATAAAAATAATTCTTCTATTTTTCCATAGTTTGAAAAATAATTTAATACAATACTTGCATTTTTAATACATAATAAATCTTCAATATCATAAATTAACTATTTTATTAATATTATTCCTCTTTTTTTTTAATTTAACGCCTTAAAATTGTATAACTTCTGGGGTTTATTAAAAACTATACTTTAATAATATTTTTATAATTAAAGTATAGTTTAATCAACAAATAGAATTAAGTTAACACTTATACAATTTAAAATAAAATCTGGGTTAAAAATCAACACTATGACCTTTTTTATGTTTATAATAAAATTGTATTAAGTCATATACTCATATTCAAACAACTATTTAGTCGTAATAAAATAAAAATAATTGTATTATATCACCCAGATAGAATAAATTACTAATAAATAAATAAAAAACAAACATTACGACAAATAGAAAGTAAAAGACCATTGTTTGTGGAGAACAAGAGTGAGTTTAATGTTTCAATGTCTATCATAAGTCTCTAATGGAATAAAGAAATTAGATCAAAAGATTAAGTAGGGTAGTAATAGTCAATTTAAATGAATTTATAAAAATGAAAATAATTTTTATTGTTCCAAAAATAGAACAAATGGAAATTTATTTATTGAGAGTTTACACCCTTTTGCTATCTTTTTTTCATATGTTATAGACTTGACTTAAAGATAGAAAGTTAAGAATATAAAAACAAGAAACAAATAATAATTGGTTGAGTGCTAAATTACTCATTTGAAATAATTATTTATATAAATACTTTCGGGTATCTCAGGTGATATGATTATTTCTTATCAACTCATAAAGATGAGTAGAAATAATGTCATATCTTTTGATTTCTGCTATGACTTTTTCTAACTTATTGAAAAGACAGAGAAATAACAGGTTATGCGATGATTGTAAAAGTGAAGAAACTAAGGAAATCTTAAAAATGAAAAGTGAAGATTTTGATAACAGGAATCTATTAATATAAATATAAACACCGATTTTCTTTGCCTAAATTTTGAAACGCTAACGCCGCACAAAATCCATTTGATAGTACGTGGTGCCAACTCATCAAAAATCAATCGATAGTATTCTATTTTAAAATAAAGGAAGTTAGTATTTCTTCCAAAAACTCCAAGTCAATAACCTGAATTAATTCAAATTTAATATTTTTAGTATAATTATTGATTATTATTTTTTTATTGAAACGAGTATTACAAAAAATTAATAAAATTTTTTGTTATTTAATTAATATATTAACAGATTAAAATATTTCTTAATAACAATATAAATCTTCGTTTGAAATAATATTGAGAAATATTTTTTTTGTTTGTTATAAATATAAAAATAGAACACAAAAATATAATTATTTCATTTTTTTTTTGTAAGAATAGAACATTTTTCAATAGATCAAAAATATAAAGGGTTAATTACTTAAAGCGTTTGATTAAAACCCTTTTTGAATCAAATTATTTAAAAATCTTTTGATAATGTTCAATTTCTTTTTATTAAGTAAAATATGTTTTTATTTTTTAACTAATTTACATTATAAAATCAGTGAAATATTAAAAAGAATGTATTTTTAACACTTCATTTTTTTTACTCAAAAAAAAGATATTTTTTTATTCTTTTTTTAATCAACTTCAGAAGTATTATTAAATTTATAATAAACAAAAAATGTCATATTTCTTATTTTTTTATTATAATGTCATTCAAAAATAAAAAAGACTTATTTCAAAGCTAAAGAAAACAAGTCATAAAATATCAGTAAGAACGTATTAAAAATATATGTCCTTACTTTATTTTTGATTATAACAAACAAATAAAGTAGATCAAATCACTTCTATTACAATCGTTGTTTATTACCACAAATAATTATTAACACAGTAATGAAAAATTATTTAATTAAAGTAAAGTTACTCAATTTTTTTTAGAAATAGGTTTTTTGTTCTTTTCTACATTCTTTCAAACCTAAGAAACTTCTTCTTTTATTTCTGTAACTCCATAAGGAAGTATTTTTAAAAATAATACTAGAATTTAACCCCTCCAAAATAAAAATACAATAATTTTTAAAAATAAATCTCTAATAAAAAAAAAAGAATCAATCAATAAACAAATATATTCATAATTAAATTTTATGAATATACTGTGAGATGTTTTAATATTTATTTATTTCAATATAGTTTACTTTAATTGAATAGTTGTTTTATTAAATTAAAGTTTCATAAAATATCATTCTTTTAAGGTTTTAATGAATAAAACTTTGTTTTAAAAGAAATAAAAACTAAAAAAAAAAATGGAATGAAAGAAATTAAAACAATTAAATATTTGAAATATTTTAAAATGAAAGAAAATCAAATTATTCTTCAGTTTGAGTTTTAAAATAATATTTTAAATCAATAAAATGGTCATAAACACTTTTATCGTATTGAATATTAGATAAATCTTTTGGAGGTAATGGAAGTTTGTTATATGTTTTTGTTTGTAAATAAGCATCAACTCTTAAATCAATATAATACAACATTAATCCTAATAAATCTGTTGGTACTCTACTTCCTACAGCATTAAAATGACCACCACCAGATCCTCCTAATTCTAAAGCTAATGGTGTAATAATTTCTCTTAAATCAACAAGATTTGTTCCTCTAAAACAAAGGTCATAAAGTGGTTGTTCTTTTATTTTTCTTCTTTGATAATAAAAAATAGCCAACCCAATTGCTTTTTCTTTTGAAGCTGAAGCAAAATGTGCTGATTTAGACTTTCCACATGGTGGATTTAAACACCAAGCAACATATTTACAATTACAACAATTATTTATTATAACATTTCTTCCTATTTTATCATTACGAGTTACTTGCATTGCTTGTGAAACTAATGCAGGAATTTCACATGGAATATATCCAGAAACAAATTCTCTTACAAGGTCTTCTTTCATTTCTTTTTTACGATAAATTGATAATCCTTGTGCTAATATACCAGCATCAAGAAAAAGACTTCTTTTCTCAAATTTATCCATTACTTTCTTTATATATTGGGTATTATCATAATAATCACAAATACATCCTATACAAGCATATATATCAACATACTCTTTTAACTCTTTTTTCTCTTTAAAATATTTATGAACTAATTCACTTGCACAACAATTTTCATCATTTATCATTTCAACTCCTTTTGGTGGTGTACCATATATTCTATGATGATCAATATAAATTACTTGATACCCTTTGTCTATTAATGTTTCAAATTTTTTATAAAGTTCTTTATATGTCCTTGCGTCAAGAGCAATATCACTAATAAATAAATTACTTTCTATTTCTTTTATATCATGTACTATCCCCATTGGATGTGTTATTATTAAATCTGCATCAATAAATCGTTTACTACTTAATGCTATGCTTGCACTACATAACCCATCTCCATCTCCATGACTACAGACAGTCCATCTTTGATTAATTCGTGGAAGGTTTAACTCTCCTAATTCAATACATTCATCAAGTCCCCGTTTCATTTCTTTGCTCATAAATTATTTTTGAGTTTCAAATCAAAAGAAGTTTTTTTGTTCTAACTTCTTCCTTTCTTTTTTTTTTTATTTCCTTTTTTTATTGGTTTGTTTCCAAAGAGAATCACTCTGTTATTTCTTTTAGAACATCTTGTCAAAAAGTCTCATATAGAAATTACCTTCATTAATAAATTCATTATTTCATCATTATTTTTCTTATTAGAACTTAACTCTTTTTTTTGTTATCTTCATCGTTATTATACAACAAATTTCTTTTAATATATGTATCCATAAATTAAGTTATTGATATCTTCTAAAGACTTAACTAAATAGTAAGTATTTTGAATAACAAATAATTTCATTTCTTTAAAACAAGACTTGTGATAATAAAATAATCAATCTTTAAGTTTGATTAAAAAAGTTAATAAATCACTTATGAGGACTTTTAAAAATCTGAATGGTTGGTTGTATTTAAACAACAAACCATAATGAGAAATACAGGATAAATGAAACCTATCACTGATGAAGAGTTTAACAGATTTCGAGATATGTGTTTAAACCATGAAGGATGGCATTTAGTTTCTCAAGATAAATGGAATATTGGTTATACTATGAAAACTAACTCGTCTAGTTCATTGAGATTGAAACTAATATCTAATTTATTTAAACCTTACTCTCTTGAACTTATATTTGATATGTTAAATGATCCAAAATACAGAAAAGAATGGGATGTGAATTTGTTAGAACGAAGAGTAATTGAAGAAATTGATGAGCATAATGAAATTGAATATTACTCCATTAAAATGCCTATAGTTACAAACAGAGATTTTGTTTATCAAAGAGCTTGGAGATTTACTGAAAATGAATTTATTATATTCAATAGATCAATTAAAGATAAACGCTTTCCACCAGTCTCTGGATTAGTACGTGCATTTTTTCATATTAGTGGATATATGGTAAGAAAAGAAAACGAAGGAAATAAGTTGTACTACATTTGTCATAATGAATGGAATGGATGGATTCCTAGTTTTTTAATTAACACAATTGGAGTTGATGTATGTCCATCAGTTTTAGGTAAAATGGCGGAGGGTTGTAAAAAATATACTGAATGGCTAGAAAAACAACAGCCATATGAAAGGCCTTGGAAAAAATTACTCTACTATTGAAGATTGAAAGAATAATGAATATAGTCAATACAATTCAATTAGAAGAAATGAAACATTTTTCACATTTTATTCAAATTAAAAGATTTTATAATTTATAGAATTTCTAAGTATTTAAATTGTTAACAGAATATAATAGAATTTTTTTTTCTTAAAAAAAGAAAACAAAAAAAGATCCTAATGGATCTTTAAATTGACTCAGCTCCTATGGAAGAACAAAAGATCTTATGTATATCATTCAATCAAGATTTCTCTTGTTTTGCTCTTGGAACTACAAAAGGTTTTTTTGTATATGGTATTGAACAAACTAGATTAAGAGAGCGTTTCAAAAGAAATTTCAATGGAGGTGTTGGAATTATTGAATTGTTATATAAATCAAATTTGGTGGCATTAGTTGGAGGTGGACCACAACCCGTTTTTCCACCAACTAAAGTTATTATTTGGGATGATTATCAAAACAAAGGAATTGCAGAATTAGAATATGACACTCCTGTGAGAGCAGTAAGATTAAAAAGAGATATTATTGTTGTTGTAGTTGATACTTCAGTATTTGTTTATGATTTTAGAAATTTAAATTTAAGACAAACCTTTAAAACTTGTCCAAACCCAAAAGGATTAATTGCTGTTTCATCTTCAGATAAGAAAGTTATAGCTTATCCTTCTGTTCAAGAAGGTAGTGTTGTTGTTGCTAATTTAGAAACTGGTGCTTCTACTACAATTGAAGCACATAAACACTCTATTTCTGCTTTATGTTTAAGTCCTGAAGCTAATTTATTAGTTAGTGCATCTTCAGAAGGAACATTATTTAGAGTATGGGATACTGCACGTGGTGAGAAAGTAGGAGAATTTAGAAGAGGAAAAAGTGTAGCAGAGATTTATAGTGTTAATTTCAGTCAAGACGGTAAATTTATTGTAACAAACAGTAATAGAGGAACAATTCACGTTTACTCTCTTTCTCAAGATGGAGATGTTTCTAATAAAGAATCTAAATTTTCTAAAATTGTTCCAGGATTTAGTGGAATTTATGGATGTTGTGAAAGTTCAATTGTACCAGACGTTTACACTGCAGTATTCTTTGGATGGCAAAATAGTCCAACTACTTGTGTAATGGGTATTACTATTGAAGGAGTGTTTATGAAGTTCAATTTACAAACTGATAAAGGAAAAGTGACTATGATATTTGAAGATTCATCTCCCATTCTTTAATTTACATTTTAATTGTTATTTCTTTGACAATAAGTCATTTTCATTCTAATAATTTTATTTGATAAATTTTTTATCCTTTTATTTTTTATTTAACTGTGTTTTGAGTTATAAAATTAGTAATTCAAGTAATAAAGTTTATTATTTCATAATAAGTTTATTTATATTCATTATAATAGTATTTTTTTTATTTGAAATATACTTTTAGGATGATTTAATATATATTAATATTCACTAAAATTTCTCTTTTTTTTAATAAAAAACAAATAGGAAATTAGTGGTTCTAGTTGATGTAAAATAATTCATTTCTCATAAAGTATTATTTACATCCTTTTCGATAATTAAATAAACAAACCAAAATTTGATTTTTCACTGATATTTTGAAAAACTCATTTTTAAAAACAATGTTTTATTCTGAGCAAACAAAAAAAAAACATGGTGTTTTTTAATAGTAGAAAAAATTAAAAAAAATTTTGAAGAAGAAAAATAAAGCACCAAATAATCGTTAAGAAGTTATTGAAAAATAAATATCAGATAAATCAACTTAATACGTAGGACATTATTTAAGTATAATATTCATTTGGTATGATTAGGTTTTTATTTGTCTTTTTAACAAAAATTTATTCAAATTATCTTTTATTAACAATAATATCAATAAATCTAACTTTTTATTCTTGTTAAAAAATTGTGTCTCATTAAATTAATACTAAATTAAAACTGAATTAGAATGATAAGAAAGAATATTCTAAGGAATTCAATATAACAGAATGATCTTTAAAAAAATTGATGTAAATTTAATTTAGAAAAAAAAGAATCAAAAGAGAAAAAGAAAATTCATCATCGCATTGAATATTTAAATAAATAAAAAATTTATTAATAAATATATAGTTTACTTTTTTATCATTTTATCTATATTTAGAAATAGTAACAAAAACAATCATAATGAATTAATCAAAAATTTATTTCTTTTAGTTAAGAATAAAAGGACAAATGGACTAAATGAGAAAAGTCATGAGAAATATGAATTTCAATAGTTTCGTGATAAAGTTAATCTTAATTTATCAAATAATTCATTCCAAAAAAATGAAAACAAGTTATTTGTTCATTGTTCTTTTCGGATTATGTTCATTAGCAAAAGAATGTCCAGCTAAAAAACCAATTGTATTTATTCCAGGTATTCTCGCTTCTATGTTGGAAGGTGATGTTAATATTGCAGATATTAGTAAGACACCACTTCCAGAGAAATGTGATACACATGTTGAATATGAAAGACTTTGGGTTGCATTAAAGAATGTTAGACCATTGAAGAATGACTGTTCATTAGGATATTTAACACCTATGTGGAACTCAACAAGTAAAGAACAAATTGATATAGAAGGAGTTAATATTGTTTCACCAAGATTTGGAAGTACATATGCATGTGATGAAATTGATCCTAATTGGCCAGTTTCCATGTTTGCAAAATGTTTTCATGACTTAATTAAGAAATTTAAGAAATTAGGATATGTAGATGGAGATAATATGGTAGGAGCATCATATGATTGGAGATACTATAGATATGGAGAATATAAACATAAAAGAAATTGGTTTGCAGATACTAAGGAATTAATAATTAATACATATAATAAATATGGAAAAGTAGTTGTTATTTCACATTCAATGGGAGGATTAATGTTTTATAAATTTTTAGACTATGAAGGAAAAGAATTTGCAGATAAATATATTGATAATTGGATTGCAATATCAACACCATTCCTTGGATCAGGAAAGGCTATTGCAGCAGCATTTCCAGGAAATAATCTTGGACTTCCTATTAATGCAGACAAATTAAGACCATTTGCAAGAAGAACAGAAACAGTTGCATTATTATTACCAATAGGAGGAACAAAAATATTTGGAGAAGAAACATTAATGAAAATTAAATCAACAGGAAAAACATATAATGCGGATGAGTTAGAAGAATTAATTAAAACAGTAGATGATAAAGACTTCCAAGAAAATTATCTTCATGGAGTTCAACATGGAATGAAAGATTTATATGAAAAATATAATTATAAATTACCATTTGATATTAAAATGCAATGTATGATATCATCAGGATATGAAAGTATTAAAGGTGTAGAAATGGAAAATGAAAGTTATGATAGTGACAGTAAACTTTTATATAGTGATGGAGATGAAACAGTAAATTTGAACTCATTAGAATTTTGTAAGAATATTGGAGCAACAACATTTAAAAATTTAGGAAAATATACACACACGGGAATATTAGATAGTAAAGCAGTATATGAAGAAGTTTATTCTTATGTTTGCAATTGAATTTTTTTCAAATAAAAATTAATTTAATTGATTTTATTTTATAAAAAGGTATTTAAATAAACGAATGAATGTATTAGAACATACAATAAATTTAAAAGTTTAAAGAAAGTATAGTTGTAATAAAAAATGACAATAAGTAAATAATACTTAACAAATAAATAGAATAACTATGAAAAGAATATAAATGAGAAGAACATAGCTATTCTATTCCAACTATTCTTTACTCTTCAGATTAATATCTTTTTTATTTCTTATCCTATGACATTTTTAATTGGTTTTTTAAAACAGTATTTACAACCAAATAACAAAATATAACAAGAAAACTAATTATGAATATATTAGGTATAGAGATATAGAAATGCATAAAACAATAAAATGAAAATAGGGATATGTATTAATAAACAGATATGATGAACACACTTTTATTTTCATTAGTCAATACTATCAAATTCATTTAAAGATTAAATACAAAGAAATAAAAGATGATAATTAAATGAAAATTTTTCAACAAGAATAAACAAGATTAACAAGACAGCATTAGTTAATACAGAAGTTAATACAGAAGAAACAAATCAAATGTATTAAATTAGAAAGAACTTCATATAAAATTAAATTTTGAATAATATTCAAAGAGTAGTTTATTAAAATTGAATAATATTTATCATTTTATTTGTTAATATTGATAATAAATATTAAATATATTGAACATCATATATAATAACTCTTCAATTCAAACAATCTATATTTTGATAAATTATTACTTATTATATTATTGTATTGAAAATAAAACAATAAAAAAATCAATAAGTATAAATGTGTACGAAAATTAGCAAAGAAAAAATGCATCTAAATAATTTACAAAAAAGAAAAAAGATGCAAAAAAATTTGCATCCATAGAATATTCCACTTTATTATATTTTGCTCCTAAAAAAAATAAAAAAATAAAAAATAAAAAGTATGATAAATATACAATCTGTATATATTTATGTTTATATTTTATGATCATTTCTATTCATTTTGTATGAAATATTAATGAAATAAATGATTTGATGAATCATATTTAATTATTTGTATTCTTTTTATTTATATGTTATTTATCTATCGTATTTTTATATATTTATTTCTCTGTTTATAATATGTATATCATTGTATTCTTCTTATTATCTATATATTATTATATTATTATATTATTCTTATTTTATGTTTTTTATGTTTATATTATTTAGATTTTCTTATTGTTATTCTTTTATATTTAGATGTATTTTATTATTTGTTTATTCATCTTTTATATTATTATCATTTATATCTATTTTCATTTTATATTTATTCTCTTTTGTTTTATATTAATATTAAATTTATCTTTTATATTTTGATTTTATTATTATATCATTGATTATCATTTCTATATTTATTTATCATTTATTCTTATTATTCTTTTGTTTTTATATTCTATATCATATATTCATATCATTTTCATTTATATTTTATCACTTATTATATGTTATAATAACATAACACATATGATTGAATATATAATAAACATCATGTTTAAATTATACATATAAATAATAAACATAAAAAATAATACAATATTTTTCATTAATAAAATAATATTAATTATTTTACATCATTAGATTAGACACTTTTTATTGAATATTTCTAATTTTTACAATAAAAATACACTTTTTATTTCTTCTTTTCATATTTTATTACATCTTTGTGATTTATTATTTTTATATTCTTCTTCTACTTTCTTTTTATTCTTTTATATATTTTTATTCTTTTTATATTATTTGTTTTTCATTGTTTTTCTATTTCTTTCTTCTATTATTTATCAATTTTATATTCATTTATTCATTCTTTTTATTTCTTTTTTATTAATTCTTTAGTATTGTATATTTCTTTAATATTTCATTTGTGTATTATCAAAATATATGTTTTATTGATTTTATGTTGAACAAAATATTAAATATAATCAATATTTTCAATGTTAATTATTCATTATTTATTATTAAATGTTTTGTATATTTATTATATTAAATGAATATGATGAATGAATATCAATATTATTGTTTATTTGATTTTAAAAAATAATAAATGAATATGAAATAATGAAATAAAATAATGAAGACAATGAAATGATAATGAAATAGAATAATCTAATATTGAACAAATCAAATAAAGAATATATTGAATATATCATTATTGTTACTTTATTATTTGTTATTTCAATTATTAAATATTAATAAATTATTATTCATGAATATTTAATTGATTGATATTTTACAATTTCATTTTCATTTTATTTAATAAATGAAATATAAATAATAAATGAATGAATAATAATTTAATATATGAAATAATAAAAAGAAAGATAAATAATAAAGAAATATGATGTATTTAATATATAATA